GTCCCTATAGGCTTGGCAACAACATCTAACAACATCTACACTCAGTTAAATGAGCGAGACTGTGTCCAAATATCGATGCAGTTTTGACCATCGTGTGGGTTATTTCGACTCATTTAGACCAGGCAAAGGGCGTTACAGTGATATATCTTTTCTCAGCTCGTGTTGGGGGTTAGAAAGTGTTCCATTATTTTCTACTATCTGTCCCATTAGTTTTTATAAGTCTAACAAAATTTCAAAGGCAAATTTTGTCGCTATGCGCTTGTATAAATGTAGTTTTCGTACGTACTTCTCACCCTCAGGATATGTACTGTATATACAACAATACTTTAGAGAAGAATTGTGTAGTGTGGTTCGGGAAGAATTAATAGTTAGAACTCCAACACCGTTAAGCGTTTATCAAGTTTGAGCTAGAGTTTGATTTTACATGCTTCCATAGCACGCGTTAGCATGCTGTGTTGTGGTGTAGAGAATGTGTTGTGGTGTAGAGAATGTGTTGTGGTGTAGAGAATGTGTTGTGGTGTAGAGAATGTGTTGTGGTGTAGAGAATGTGTTGTGGTGTAGAGAATGTGTTGTGGTGTAGAGAATGTGTTGTGGTGTAGAGAATGTGTTGTGGTGTAGAGAATGTGTTGTGGTGTAGAGAATGTGTTGTGGTGTAGAGAATGTGTTGTGGTGTAGAGAATGTGTTGTGGTGTAGAGAATGTGTTGTGGTGTAGAGAATGTGTTGTGGTGTAGAGAATGTGTTGTGGTGTAGAGAATGTGTTGTGGTGTAGAGAATGTGTTGTGGTGTAGAGAATGTGTTGTGGTGTAGAGAATGTGTTGTGGTGTAGAGAATGTGTTGTGGTGTAGNCGCCCACCAGTCCGTGTGGCGACTGTGGCGGACAGTTGTGGCTTTGACGCCACTACGCTCACGAAGAACAGAATGCTCATCAGTGGACGTGCAAATTCTGCCCGTGCAGGAGGGAACATTCGCCAATTATTTTTTGGCGCTTCAGTCCGCGGACGAATTCTTGAGTCCATATGAAGAAAATTGTAAAGCTACCGGGCGTCGACCGCTTTATTTTTTATTCTTTTTTTTTTTGCCTGCGATGTAGCAGCGAAACTACATGAAATATTTCAGAATTGCTTTTTGCTTTCGTTAGATTCATTTTTTTTATTCGCTGCGTTTTGAGTTACAGCTTATTATAGCATTGTACAATGTATGTCGGACTATGTATAATGTGTGTCCACTTACATAGTTCACCTATACACTCGCACAATCCACATACACACTCACACGGACTCAAAGAATCAACATAAACCGCCACACAAACTCGCACAGTCCACATATGCGCTTACACTCACAATACAGTGAAAATCCATGGGCGGTTTATAGGCGGCTGTTGAGTGGCCGCGGCCGACCGACTCTAACTTTCTGCGCCAGGCTGCTATACACGCTGGGAGCTGCAGCTTGCCGGCCTAGCCTTATATGTTGGGGCGTCCAACATGTCGGAGAGTGCGTTGCCTCCCTGTGGGGGCAGGGGTGTGGAGCGGGTGTAGGGATGTGTAGCAACTGGACTGGTCCCCAACTTTAAAAGTGAGACCTTCGAAATAGTGACATATCATAACGAAAGGAGGGAGATACTGTGCAAGATACACCCATTTAACAACCGAGCCGCGGCTAGAGTTCAACTCTCCGGGAAAGATCCCTTTCCGTATAGCGGGGCCGAAGCTGTTTAATATCTTTCCGAAGGAGCTGAAAGGGAGTTCACCCTTGCGACATTCAAGAGACGACTGCATGTGTTATTGAACAAGTTCTCGAATCGTCAGGTCATTAGCCACTACCCTCGGTAAGTAGCAAGCAACAGCATTTTGCACCAGCTCGCCCAAATGCGAGCAGATTCACTGTGGTCACGTTCAAAGTTATACCTCCGGGACCCGATGGCAGGCGAAAAGCGACGCATCGGCGAGGTCAGGGACCAGAAAATCGTGAACTTGACACAAGTGGCAGTGCAGTGATGAGTAGCGAGTGCAGAGGTGCACGCAGTGCAGAGGTGCAGGCAGTGCAGAGGNACAACTGTACATGGGCAGGGGGCACACAACTGTACATGGGCAGGGTGCACAACTGTACATGGGCCTGTGCTTCGTTGGCTGCGGCTGTAGAGACTATATTTACTACTGCTTACTTTTTTCTTGCCTGCCTTATTCATCTTCTAATGAATAAGGAGACCAATTGTTCTACACTGTGGGGAACGAGGAAGGCAACATATTAAGCAATTACCTATAATAATGATAAATTAATGATATAGTAATGACGAATAAATCGAGGAAATTAGCACGCCGCGAGGACGAGTTTGAATTTCGGTGTATTTTCAAGGAACTGTAGTTGGCAGACTATACTTATGAATTTAATAGAATATCTCAAGAATTACCGACAATATTGATTGGTTAACCACGTCGGTCCAGTGTTCGATCTTCAAAATCTATAGAGCTTCATTAATTAACTCAATATCTGGTCCAGTTTAATAAACAAAAGGCTCATGCAATTCATGGTTCTTGCAATTTCGATCTAAGCTAGGGAAATATTTGAGACTATAAGCTCTCTTCCTTCCGTGTATAGGTCTCGATTTCCCTCCCGATTAAACTCATTAAAAATAACTAGTATCACATGAAACAAGAAAAGACCCTTCACACCCACGTGTGCGTTTAAGTTGGAGTTGAACTGCGTGTGTAGATGCTGTGTTGGCTTCTAGTGTGTGCGTTTAAGTTTGAGTTGAACTGCGTGTGTAGATGCTGTGTTGGCTTCCAGTCAGGGTTGCTGGCCCCGATATGGCAGGCATGAATGGGCGCCTCTGCTGGCAGTCTCGCGCGACTTTTTCTCTGTCTTGCGCCGCTTTTTTTTGTGAGTGTGCCGCAGCTGCTGCTGCTGTTGCCATTTTTTGTTGCTGCTGCTGCTGCCGCTGCTGC